AACACATCAGCTACCCACTAACTGCCCAAATGTGCCCCTTCCATAAAAGCGGGGTGGGGGTGGAGCTTCTCCCTTCCCAGAGGCTGCTCCACTTACTTGCAATAGAAATTACTGGTGTTTTGTCTACTTCCCTAAAAACCAAAACATGTTCTACATGGGTCTTCAACCCAAACAGTAGCAGACATTTTCCCGAAAAAATTACTCTGCTGTTGTCAGTTTGTAGACAGAAAGCCGTATTTCATCCTGACCCATGAGGGCTAAATCACTAGTCAAAAACAAACTGCAGGGATGGAATTCCACCAGGAGATCCCATACACAACAGGAGACTGGAATCTTGCTTTGATAATGCACCGTAGGAAGATATATTCCTTCTAAGGATTTGCTGGGCACATGTAGTCTACTTGAAATGAATGCCTGAGTAGGAATGTAAAGACCAAGTGCCAAGAAAGAAAATGCAAAAATTGGTTAAAAAATGCATCTATTTTCTCCCCCAGAAATTTTTGCTTTGTTAACCCCAATTGGGAAAATACTATAAAATTGTGTTTTACACTGATAAGTATTTATACTCATATCTATTCTCTGTTCTCATTGAATATTTTTAAAAGTATGCATTAACACAGCAGAATATCTATAATATCAGATGTGGATAATTCCTGTAATTACTAAGAACAAGTAACATAAGAAGAGTTTTGTTTTGTTTTTTTCAATCTCTCCAAGGGTTACTACTATTAACATAAAATAAAGAATACTTAGTATAATAGTCCTAATTAATTTTTGGTCTAGTGTTGGGCTGTCCATGTGCCTAGGAAGACTTGAAATATGACTAATTTGTATCAAGACATGCTGTGAATATAAAATATACTACAAATTTCAAAGACTTAGAATAGAAGATATCTTATAACTTTTACTATATATTAAAATAGCATTAATTATAATGTGTTAAATACAGTGTTGTTAAAAGTAATGTTATCTATTTTTATTACCCTTTTACATGTGGCCAATAGAAAATTTGAAATTACATTTGTGGCTCACATTACACAGTAGTGCCCCTTATTTGCACTTTCATATTCTGTGGTTTCATTTGCCCGCGTCAACCAAGGTCTGAAAAATATCGAATGGAAAATTCCAGAAATAAACAATTTGTAAGTTTTAAATTGTGCACTGTTCTGAGTACCCTACTTCATCTTATCACATAGTCACTGTCTCATTTTGTATAATCACGAGAAAGGTAAGTATAACAAAGTAAGATATTTTGAAAGGAAGACTACATTCACATAACTTTTAGGATATTGTTCTAACTGTTCTTTTATTATTAGTTATTGATGTTAATTCCTTACTGTGCCTAATCTATAAATTAAACTTACCATCGGTATGTGTATGTAAGAAAAAAACAGTATACATAGGGTTTGGCACTATCCCTGCTTTCAGGCATCCACTGGGGGCCTTGGAATGTATCCTCCGAGGGCAGGGGAACTGCTGTACTGGTGTTGTACAGCGCCTGGTCTAGCAACAGTGATTCTCAATTGTAGTTGTTCATCGGAATTATCAGAGCTTTTTCAAAAAGTGGTCCCCTGAACTCTGGTTCAAAACAAATCAGAATCCTGGGAGTTAGGACCCCAAGATATGTATTTTTATAACACTTTCTAGATAGTTTTTAAAATTTTATTTAATTATTGTTCAAGTACAGTTTTCTGTTTTTTACTCCCATCCCAGCTCACCCCCTAGATAGTTCTTAGAATCATTAACTTGGAGGTTAGTCGACATAATCATGTCCTGAAGCCTTATAGGACAGGGAGTGGAATGCACACTGGTAAATAGTCTCCTGTAACTTATTTCTATAGAATAAGAAACAGCATGCTTATTACCTGCTTGTTTAAAATGGTAAGAACAGAAAAGAATAATAGTGTTGGAGTAAGGAAAAAAGTTGGAACTTGGCTCCAAACTAGCTAAAAACAAAGAGACCCTAGAATTTTTTTAATAAACCAAGCAGACCTATTATATAATAAAGACTTTGGCCTTTATGCCTGGAGAGAGAGAGAGAGACAGGGACAGAGAGAGAGAGAGAGAGAGAGAGAGAATAAATCCTGGAAATTTCTCAAGTAACAGAAGTGTCTTCATTATTCATGAGTCCCTTGGATCACACCTGAATTTATGCTCAGAGATGAAATAACTCAGGACAAAGGCTGCTCCCTAGAAAGACCAAACATGTGATTAGTGGGTTGGGGGCTTTGAGCCAGATGGACCTCAGTGGAGGAGGGAGAAGTTGGAGATTAAGTTTAATCATGCGGCCAATGATTCGATCAGTCATGCTGTTGTAATGAAACCCTGATAAAAATTCTGGACACTGAAGCTCAATGAAACTTCTTGGTTGGTGAACACACTGATATGATGGTAGAAAGACATACCCTGGTTCCACAGGAAAAGAACAGAGAAGCTCTGTGTTCACGGCCCACCCAGACCTTACTTGATGTGTCTCTTCTCTTGGCTGGTCCTGATCTGTGTCCTTTATAATAAAATTGTAATTATAAGTATAGTGCTTTCCTGAGTTCCATCAAGTTGTTCTCATGAAATGTCGAACCTAAAGGTACCATGGAAGCTCCCAAATTTGTAGCCAATTGGTCAAAAATGTGGTGGCCTTGGAACCCCACCAGTGGCCTCATCTGAATTAGGAGCAGTTTTGTAGAGAACTGAGCCCATAACTATTGCATCTGCTCTAATTTGAGGTGGTTAGTATCAGGATTGAATTGCAGTATACCAGTTGGTGTCAGAATAAGGTCACAATTCCACACTGTAACAAAAACATTTGTAAGAAAATATAAAATCTTCTAAAATAAAATTCATCCCTGGCTGGTGTAGCTCAGTGGATTGAGCACAGGCCTGTGAACCAGAGGATCACAGTTCAATTCCCAGTCAGGGCACATATCTGGGTTGCAGGCCAGTTCCCAGCAGGGAATGCATTGAGAGGCAACCACACATTGATATTTCTCTCCCTCTCTCCTACCCTTCCCCTCTAAGGATAAATAAATAAAATCTTTAAAAAGTAAAAAAAAAAAATTTCAACTTGTAATTACTGAATAAATTATACTCTAACCTGAATATCATTCTGTGATTTAATTGACATTTTCTACTCCTATACTAAGGGAAACTTTAGATCTAAAAAAAGCACTAGAATAGTTTTTACATTTTTCTGGTTGTTAGAAGGCTATTTTCTTTGCTCCTTTGTCTTTATCTTTACTTTTAAGCCTATACCAATAATAATGACAATAGCAGTAATAATAATCCAGCAGTGTATCATTTTATATACACACAACCAAACACTTTTCAGAGGTGAAAGAATTACAGTCTGTCCAAGTCTGGTCTTTCATCCATGGGGGTGTGTACACTTCAGATGTTGGGAGGGACAAGTGTACAAGGTTTGAAACCATATCAGAAATAATTAAGATTCACAGCCTTGAGATAGAAAGGTGAATAAGATTTCTTAACAGTTAAGAAGCATCTGTCTCATTTTCCAGTCGACTATCCTTCACCAAACTGGACACATATCCACAAATAAAAAAGTAGGACAGGGAAAGCAATTCAGAAAGACAGGGGGAGCGATGAGGAGAGAAGGAAATCACAAGCGGCTCTGCAGCCTGACTACAAATCACTGCCCAAAGGGAAGAGGTAGTAGGAAGCAGGAAGAAAAGGAGGATGTCCTGAGAATTACAAAGAGCAGTAACTATAGCATCTAGTTCTCTACAATTATTCAAGGGATGCAGGAAAAGAAAGACGACTGAGAGCTGAGCCCAGTGTGCCGTGAGTACTTTGCCACTCGCTGAAGGACAACCATTCGTTTCTAGAAAATGAGATTCTGAAATCCATGGAGGCAAAAATGCACTGAGAGATGCTTGTGAAATCAAGGACATAATGCTTTTCTCTGCCAGCTGTAAGGTATATTTGAGGTAGAGAAGCGAAAGGATCTTCTGAGACAAAGAAGAGAAGTACTTTTCCCGAAGATGCCTCTCTGCTCTTCTGCTGACCTATGCTGGATCAACAGTGGCATCCAGTGGCCGAAAGTCTCAGCACAGACTTCTTTGTCTCCAGGAAGGGTTTCCACTGCTTTGGGTGAAGTGGCAATTCAGAACAAAGCTATTTCTGGTGTCTGTGACTAAGGGTCCCCAAAGACACAGTACTTTGTAATATAAAGTGAAGAACCAAAGGCTATAAAGAAGAAATGGAGGGGGGCAACTTAAGATTGGCTCTGGTATTTATATTTCCTGTGGTATTACTAAAAAGAATGAAAATACAAAAGGGGATGAATGTATGTGCAGGTAGAATTCCTAGGTTTTCACTGCCTCAGAATAGTTTAAAAATAGATGAGTAAACAAGACAAAGTATTTTCATTTTAAAACCAATGCAATACTGAAACAAATTTCTTTATGTACACTTTATTTTTTTTAAGAACTTAGGAAGGAAAAAATAGTGGCATTAGCATGACTTAATTAAATAATTTACTTTTAATTTAATTTTGCTCTGAAGTGTGATTTTTAAAAACTGAGCGTCAATTGCTAAATTCAGGTGTCTGATTTTAGGGAAATAGTGAAACTGGATTATATAGAAAAACATATTGAAACAAAAAGCATTCTAGCAAAGATATTTTTATATCCAAATGTTCACTTCGACTGCTAAAAAAGTAATTTTCTGGCCAAGTTCCATCAAGTAAAATGCTAGTAAATTTTTTCTAACTTAAAAAAAAAAAGAACTATGTTTCCTTAGTGACAAAATGTAAGCAAAAATAAAGTAATCCTAAATTTGTATCCTAATTAGAGCATACTGTATCTCTCAAGGTCAAAGGTCAAAAAAGTGAGCAGAGGAGACTCTTCTCTCATGGTTTAAATTTGTTCATTTTCTGCTCTACATTTCTAACTGTAAAAAACATGGGCTTGTCATACACATTACTCCCCTTAACTCTTCTGATGGAGTGCTGGCTGGCTCAGGTGCACATACCCGCTCAAACTCACCTGTTTGGATGGGACGTGGGCAGCATGAACTGGAATTCCACTACGCAGGTGTTGTCCTTAAGCTGGCGGTGCTGTACGCTGTTAAGTTCATAGGCAATATAAGCCCTTCGAACATACACCTGTTTAAAAAGTAATCCCCAGTAAATACACTTTAAAAACAGAGGCTAAGAGATGTAGCCAGGGAAAAGACAGTCTTGAAAAGAGGTATCTGATAGAGAAGATGGTCTGTGATGACGGAAGTCTCAAGGCTCTGTATAAAAGTGTTGCTTTAATTAACAAAGCTGGAATCTTAAAACTATACCTATGACTATAAATGAAAGCAAAACTAGCCTGCCTGGCTGGACACCTCTAGGTGTGCCACATGCCTTTCACACTAACCTGAACACAGGAGAAGGTTGGATCTTGGGCAAAAGAGAGCATACAGAATCACAACTTATTAACTCATTATGCATGATAATTTCAACAGAAGATAAAAGCAAGCAGTGAAAAAAATGAAAGGTGTGGATTCTGGGCCACTTGAGGAGTGGAGAGGGAAGACAGAAAGACTTCTAGGATAGTCCAGTCTTTTTACCACCTTGTTCCTCTGTTTTGTTTTGTTTGCCCATTGCCCAAAATAAATTTTAGATTGTTTATATCCCCCAAACACTAGGCAAAAGCACTAGGGCATAATTTGATATATAATACCTCAAACACACTACTTGACTCAAGAGTTAAAAGAAACAGCAACAGGCTACATCTCAGCAAAATCATCAGTCCAACCTTATGCACTTCACAGACAATTTGCCAAGCATATGAAATGCTACATGGAATTCTATCAGCATCTGAGGTACATAAGGAGATTTCTCATTAAATGGCATGAAAGAACTGTAAAACACAGATATTTTTTTAAATTTGGTATTTACTGAGTAGGATACATTACGCTCTACCCACAGAATACAAATAGGGTAACTCAAAAGAGCTTGCGACAGACTGTAGTGATGTCATATTACATAAGATCATCTAAAACACTCCTTTTCCTCATCTTCAAAAAATATCCACTTGGCAATTGTACAGTAGTATTCAGGGCCTGCAATTTTTGTGCCTAATGAGGTAGTGAGCTGTAGTGGAAACAGAAAAGTCTGTGAGTTAGATTCAAATGCAAACTCTTCCACTTATTATCTATGTGAATTTAGACAAGTCACTTAACCTCTCAGTCTCCCTTTCTTACTTCATGAAGTAATTGTAGGATTAAATGAGAAAAATAAAGCATCTAAAACACAGTTCATTAAATGTTATGACACTTTTGCCTGTGATGAAATATTTCATAAGACCTGCTTGACAATTTAGGACACAAGTAAAATCCATTTTATTTGGCCTAAAACACAAAATGGTACATGTTATGATCAGCCCTATATTTTTTCACTTATTGTGTTATAGGAAATCCTAATTCATTATGAAATGGGATAATGAAATAGAACTAGAAAGTAGAGACTATTAACAAGTACGGGCAGCTATTTTCCTATGATGAGAGCCCAGAAGCTGATGACTAGTTCAGCAGAAACATTTGGGTAAAGCAAGACATTTGGGTTTAGCATTAGTTTCAGAGGAAAAGAAGATTCTACTCTTAGGAACCAACCTTAAAGCCAAAGAAAAAGAACTGATGCAATAGCCAAATAGACAGAAGAAATCAACTGGAAACCAAGAAAAAGGTCATGTCATATTACATTACTAAGAAAACTTACCTCCAGAGCTGCCATCCTCACTACCTGGTTGCTGTGATAGAAGAAGTTTGGTAAGACATCAAAGATAGATGTTTCGGACAAGATGAGTTTCTGGAAGGTACAAAGACAAACTTAAACCATTACAGCCAAAAGAGAACAACTTCAATAAACAAAATTTAGCATTTGAAGCATTTTAGTAAAACTTAAGAATTTTGTCTATGAACGCCATGTATGAACTTACCTTCTTTATGCCTCAGCTTCCTGAAGCTACAAAATGGGGAAAATAACGATAACCTATACTCTTAGGCTGTTGTGAGCATTCAAAGAGTTAAAATATACATAATTCTTAGAATACATAAACAATGCATTAATTATATGCTAATATAAGTGTTTATGACTATTATTATTCTTTCTGAGATATATCTCTACTCAACTTCTTAAATATCATCTGAGTACTCCACTATCATAAACCAATAGATTTGAACCCCAATTGAAACCCTCTATTTCAACTATGAACCAAATAAACAAAAATACCCTTCTTTCATCACTAGGTTTCCCAGAAGGAAATCTGACAGGAAGCCTGAAGATGCCTTTGGCTAAATATAACAGTAGTATCCTTATGTTCAGGTAGACAAATAAAAAGTCATTCCTGAGAAAATGATGTTTAAAAAACAACAGGTCCTTCCAACTAGTAAAATTAGCCAGTACTCTTTTATAAAATTGGCTCTATATAAAGCTTATTCGGAAGCTTTAAAAGACAATTAAAGCACAAGAGGTAAACTTCAATAAGACACTCAGGCAGACCTATTTGATTTTTAAGCTAAGCCACAATTCTAACAGCATTTTTAATGAAAAAATATTCAGAAGTATAAATCATTTTAGTAAGTCAAGGTATAAAACTTCATTACATGAAAAATCAAAATTGATTGATTGCTTATTTAATTGAACTATGCTTGGGAACAAAGAGAACAAGAGTACAGAGAGGTAGAAAAGGGCTGTAAGTATACCTGAAGGTTCTCAATACAGAACTGATGTCCGTACATGTCAATAGCTGATAGGAAGATAGACTCTACTTGGTTATGGCGAAGCTCATATGATGGCAAATGAGAGGCAATAAGAACCTAGAGTGAGAGCAAAATAAGAGGCATAAGTTCCTGAGGGAGTGATTATTCTAGGCTCCTATTAGGCAGCTCTGATACAAAAGCAATAAATATAAATCTCTAAGTGCAGGCATCAAAGATAAAACAGAGACTAAGTAAAAACAACTTCTAGGTCCTGTAACATAAAGCCAATGCCACCAAATACTGCATCTCAGTTGACTCTCACCATGATTTGCGTTGTGGGCTATTTCCCATGGGGTTAGGGGGAAGGGAGAGAAAACAGCTTCAATCAAGTTCCATCAGTGCATGTGATTTACCATTGCAAAGCTGCTAGTCCTGGGGACTGCCCGACTAGCTGTTAATTGGGAATCAGGTCTGGCAGGGAGCAGCTGTGGGGAAGGTGGACGCAGCAGAGCTAGCCTTTTGCAACTCTGAAGTAGACAGACTAGGAAAAACTGCTCTGACAGCCCCAGGTACTCAGTAGCAAGGAAAAGGTGTCAGGATGTAACACCAATGCATATGAGGGGCACAGAGAATGAAAGCAGCCTCACAAACAAACAGGGACACGGTAGGACCTGAATACTCTCAGCAGGTCACTGAGAGGTTCAATAACTTTGAGTAGTTCAGTGACATGGATACAATTGTAGAGAAAGCAGAAGGTCACTGAACAGCTTCAAATGCTGCTTCCTTGTCAGTGCCCATGCACAGAAACACAAAGGGAGCGCCAACTCTTGGCTTCCCTGCTGAAACCTTTTGGAATGGAAATGAAGACTACGGGGTGAAACTAACTGGACTTCTCTGGGGTTGTTCTGATTGCTAGCCCCAAGATTCATTTCATTCTTTCTGCTTTCCACACTTGATTTTTTCCCCGTACACTTAAAAGTTTTCACCTGCTTCTAAGCTCCCTTTGGGAAGTAAGAAATATGGAGGCTATTGCCTTCCTCCACATGACCTTGATTTACCATCATAGGGCTAGCAGAAAGGGTGGAGAACCGTAACAGGATTTTGTATGGGGAAAGGGCTCCTATTTTAGAGGACTTAACATTCATCTTTTCCCGTCTCTTTAAAAAATACATACCACAAATATACCACAAGAAAACATTTGTTCTGTGGGCAACGGGACATAGATATTTGCATGGCTGAATAAAAGCTCATTGCCCAATCTATGAAAATCATTCCTCCCTCAAGATAACCAACACATCTCCTTACCTGGCGGGCTCGAAGTGACACTTTAGCATTGGTGGTCTTACTGAGTTGAGTCAGCTCTGTGAGGATATTCAGTAGCTCATCAGTGAGAGTAGGGTCCCGGCCACACAACTGATCCTAATTGTTTATGTGAAAAAAACATACACGTGCATATTAAAAGAAACCGTGGATAGGTCTGAACTGGGGAAAAGGGAATAAAAGCCAAGTAAACACAGCTGGATTAATATAAAAAATGCAAACTTCCTGTTTTTTTGTTTTGTTTTTGAATCCAAACAATATGGTAAAGATGATCCCAGAGGAAGCTGCTGCTAGAAGAACCTTAAATCCCTCAGTCATTCAGATTCAAAATTCCAAATGTATTTCTTTATAAATCAACACTATACCTTTCACAGGCAGAAGAAATCATCAGAGACCCTCAAAAGAGGTCAAGGGACTCTAAGTAAGAAATAACAAGATGATGTTTTAAGAGGTTTTAAATATTAATAATATGGGGACTAAAGGCTTCCTGTTCCCTCTCCCAGTTTTGGGGGGAAAAAAAGGCAAAATGTAAAGTGAAAGGAACCGCTCCTGGTGGTTTTCATCCACAAACCAAATGTTCAGCATCCCAGGAGGGTGCAAAACAGAAACACAAGAACAAATTATTCATTTATAAACACACACTAAATAAAAACACCATCTCATATTCTGACAATTCTATACCCCAAATCATTTATCCTTTCACTGTACCAAGAATCATTCCAGGATACCTAAACACGGTGAATCTTTAGACGGATGAGGAGGAAAAACCAGCCCCTATCATACAACCCATGCTTTATTCAATGATGGGTCCCTCCTCTCCTAAAAATTAAAAATTGTTAAGAAAAACCTCTATCATGTTTTGAGAAAAATATTTCTTCTCCAGGAGAATGTCAGTTGAGACCCTAAATTCATCTATATAATTCTCATCTAAGCTGAAAGGCTGCAGATGCAGTTTTTATAAAGATCTGTCCTTTTTGAAATGTACAGAGCTATTTGTAGTAGTAGTTCTTAATACCACACCACATAAAATACACACAATTCAGTATAGTTCCCTCTACTTGAAATAACTGCCTTTATATTTAGTGAAGTTTTATTCTCTTACTGGATATGAAAGACAACCAGATCCCAGCTTCCTGACGCTTTTTCCTCTCCTCCCCACCTTGATTATCAGCCATTTTCTTAGAGAATCTCCATCTCATACCCAGACCTTCCCCATCTCAGAGATGGTCGGTATGGCCCATGATCACAGCTGTATAAATAAAAGCTTGGGACTTCTGGCTTTTGAGGCACATACACATTTCCCAAAACACTTTTTCTACAACCCTCTTCTACAACACCTTTTCTACTTTCCATGTCACAGGGTAAGTAGTTTTAAAGCACTTAACATCACTACTCTGGCAAACGGGCTTCTCAAACATTTTTAAGCAGGAAATATACTGGGTTGGCCAAAAAATCCACTAGATTTTTTCCCTACACTGGCTCCAGTAGTGCTTAGTTGTCTTTAACTTCACTTGAAACAATTTTGTTAAATTGTATTGTGACAGCTGTCATATCAGTGTGCATTTAAAAACCATCAGTGACTTCCACCAAGATGGAGGCATAGGTGGAGAAGCCGTGCTTTCTCTCACAACCAAGTTTAGAGACAACTAAATATAGCAACAGAAAACACAACCAGAACACAGAAAATTGAACTTTTCGGAAGTCTGATAACAACAAATTCTTTAGCCTGACCAGTAAGAGGGGCGAAACCAGCAGCTGGCAGAGCGGGGTAGCACAGGAAAACTCGGTCAGACGGACTCAGGCACGCGGAACCCAGGCGCAGGGTTGGACCTGGTAAGCGACTCAGCGAGCGACCTCTAGGAAACAGCGAGAGAGCAGGGCTGCGGGTTGACTGTGGTCGCGCATTGGTGCACAGATAGACAAGTGAGGGAGTGGGCGGTGAGACTACAGGACTGAGCAGGCCCCACTGCGAGCGGCAGCAGACGGCGCCGCCATTTCCCCACTCTGACCCCGCCTCCACATACAGCGTCATAACCCAGTGACCTGAGGGGCCCCACCCTGGTGAACCACCCAAGGTTCTGCTCCTCACCTAGCGGCGGGAAACAGCAGAGGGGGTTGCCATTTCCCTGCTCTGACCCCGCCCCCACGTATAGCGTCACAACCTGGCGACCTGAGAGTCCAATGCTCCGCTACTCATACTTAACAGGCGCAAATAGACCAAAAATGGCTCAAGAAGATCTCAAAGCCCCAGAGCCTATAAATCTAGGTGATGAAGAAATAGCAAAACCCTCAGATGCACAGTTTAAAATACTGGTGATCAGGATCCTCACAGAACTGGTTGATTATAGCCACAAATTAGACAAATATATGAAGGCGAAACTAATTGAAATGAATGGAATTGCACAGGAAACCAATAGCAATGAAAAGGAAATTGGGACTCAAATCAATGGAGTGGACCAGAAGAAAGCAAATAATGGCCAGGCAGAAAATAGTCAAGAAGCAAGAATTCAAAAAAATGAGGAGAGGCTTAGGATCTTCCAGGACATCTTTAAATGCTCCAACATCCGAATTATAGGGGTACCAGAAGGGGAAAAGGCACAGCCACCAGTGGGAAACTTATTTGAACAAATAATAAAGGAGAATTTCCCCAATCTGGCAAAGGAAATAGACTTCCAGGAAATCCAGGAAGCTCAGAGAGTCCCAAAGAAGTTGGACCCAAGAAGGAACACACCAAGGCACATCATCATTACATTAGCCAAGCTTAAAATGAAGGAGAGAATCCTAGAAGCAGCAAGAGATAAGGGGACAGTCACCTACAAAGGAGTTCCTATCAGACTGTCAGCTGACTTCTCAAAAGAGACCTTACAGGCAAGAAGGGGCTAGAAAGAAGTATTCCAAGTCATGAAAGGCAAAGACCTACAACCAAGACTGCTCTATCCTGCAAAACTTTCATTTAGAATGGAAGGACAGATAAAGTGCTTCTCAGATAAGATCAAATCCAAGGAGTTCATCATCACCAAGCCCTTATTATATGAAATGTTAAAGGGACTTACCTAAGAAAAAGAAGTTAAAAAAACATGAACAGTGAAAGGACAGCAAACTCACAGTTATTAACAACCACACCTAAAACAAAAACAAACTAAAAGGACAGCTAGATCAGGAGTGGAAACATAGAAATGAAGATCACGTGGAGGGTTAGCAATAGGGGAGGGGGAGGAGGAGAAGGGGAGAGAAGGTACAGAAAATAAGTAGCATAGACAGTAGATAGAAAATTGATGGGGGGGCAAGAATAGTATGGGAAATATAGAATCTAAAGAACTTGAGACACATGGTCATAAACTAAAGGGGGGTAATGGTGAGGATGGGGGGTAGGGTGGAGGGGAATGAAGGGAGGAATAGAACAACTGTAATGGCATAATCAATAAAAAAAAGAAAAAAACCCATCAAATTGGTGAATTTTTGTGCAGCTACTTGAATATTAAAGATGGAAGAAAATACACAACATTTTTGGCATATATGCTTTATTATTTCCAGAAAGATAAAAAGGCAACTTAAACGCAAAAAACTGTGTGCAGTGCATGGAGAAGGTGCTGTGCCTGATCAAACGTGTCAAAAGTAGTTTGAGAAATTTCTTGTACTACTGACATTTTAGCCAGATAATTCTTTGCTGTGGGGCTGTTATATGCATTGGAAGATGTTTAGTAGCACCCCTGGCTTCTACCCACTGGAAGCCAGTATCAGGATATAGCTGACATATTCAAAATATCCAAATCAATAGCTACTGGTAAAAATGATAAATGCGTCTTTTATTTTATGGAAAAAAATATGGACTTTTTGGCCAACCCAATACTTCCTGGTTCCCCAATCCACCAACCAGAGGTCTGCTCCAACTGTCCAGAGTTGTAAAACACAGGGTGGGATTTATAGTTAAGGAAGTGCAAATGCATACTGTTTTCACCTATTTAATGCAGGGAATTTGCTCATCTGAGTGGGAAGAAGAGAAACTGCTATTAAAGTGACACAGTGGGTGGGGAACCAACATAAATCCCTCTTTACCTGTTGTTCCTAATTGAGAAAACATATTCCTTTTTGAGGTACTTACTTTAATCATCACAATGACCCACTGAAATATTTAAAAACCTGAGACGTCCTAGGCAATGCTATTCTGCAAATAGCTAGACTAAAATCTCAACAGTAACCAGAAAAGTCAACGTGACAAAATGAGAAGACCTGCCACATACCCAACCTCTTTCTTTGAAAGGAAATCCAGATTTACCTCTTGAGATTAAACTAACGAATAAGTAAAAATAAGGTTACTTTCTTGCTTAATTATACAGATCCTGTTCTAAGTTAAAAAAGAAAGAAAGCAAGCACACAAAACCACTTTTTGATTTCGTCTTTTCACTATGAGAGAAAGGAAGTGGGAAAGGGGAGAGGGGAAAGAAACAGTACCTATGTGAAAGTGAGCTATGAAGATTAGAAACATCCAAAAGAAAGTTTACGGTCCTCTAGCCTAGAGACAGACTTCCATGGGCAACTGGACAGCCCAACATGACTGTCTAATCCTGGTAAACATTTTGTAATGAGGACATTAAGTGGTGGTTATGTCAGCAGATGTTTTCTCGTTGTAAAGCAGTTCATTTAATAAGCTTACCTGCTGATTTTGGGACTACAGGTCACTTGCATAAATCTGCAGGCCTAAGTAAAAACTATTACTCAGCAATGGTTAAGTGTGGTACCACACAGTTATTTCTTGTTCTTATTCCTAACCCTGAGGGTGGCTAATGATGGGAAATATAACAAACATGCTTAAGTGTCAAAACCATAACTGGAGTTACAGAGCTGACTGCCAGAAGAGCAAAAAGTAGTCTACCTTGATCTTCGCATCCTAATACTGAAGGCAATTCAAAATGAAAAGAATGTGACATAATGAGCAACACACCCAAGACATTAACTATGTTCAGCTGTGTGAAGCACTAATTCCAATAGCAATGGACTGGAAGCTTCTTCCAGTCACAGCTGGACATTCTGACATTCTAACAATGTCATGGGACAGACTTAAGAAGTTTATATCACACTTATTCAGTAAATTGGGTTCACTGAGAAAAACATTCTTCTTTACCACACACTGGACAAAATTATTTGCAGTTGTGCTAGCAGGAGGAAGGAAAGGCACAGATCAGCATTTTTAAATGACCCCTGTCTAAGTCAAACCGGGGGCCCAGAGGCTCAAAGGCATGGCATTGCTCACAAGAAAGCACGGTTTATATCATGCTCAAGTGGACCACACCAGAAATAAGATATGAGTTGTGAGCAGACAACTTCTCAAGTCAAGGTAGTTATAGGATATGTGTTCGATACTTGGCTACCTAGACAGCTATGAGGATGCTGATAGTTTTTACTGGTTCCAAATTGCTTAAGCTGATTAAAGAGTCTCCTAAATATCTCTAAGTAAGCATAAACAATGTTCTAAGCTTTTTCCTAGAAAATTAAATTAAAAAAATCAGGAGATCTTTAAAAAATTAAACTTACTATTAGTCTTCCAGACTTTTTTTTAACTGTGGCATTGTATTCCTCAAAATGGAGAAAACTGGACAGAACTTTGGCATTTTACTTGACATTCTGCTATCCTAATAAGGTGAAATATTAGAAGATATTTGCTTGTGAGTCCTTGAGGCAAGTTACCATTAAGCAAGTTGTGTAAATACCTGAAAGGGATGAAGGCTTCCTTGGAGCAGCCCACGCTCTGTGACACTGATTCATGGAAACCCGGATTTTCTTGATCCCTGACTCTTAGGTTCAAAAGTCCCCTGAAATCAGCATCTAGCTCAGCAAAGCACACCATCAACATTCCTACTTCTAGAAGGCAGAGATTGGAATGCTGGGCACATAACCACCAATCAGGAAGCCAAGGTAAGCAAAGAAAGTGAAACCAGCTGAGAATACAAACTAGGAGATTCAAGCAGCGCTACCGTGTCCAGGTGCTACCTGTAAAAGACAGTAAAACCAACAGAAAGAGTAATCTACACAGCTAAAATGGCTTTTACCAGCTACCACCAGTTATGCAGACATGGGGCGGGGGGACCTGACCATTGCCAAAGAAGGAAAGAGGAAGCCCCTTTCTGGCATTCATTAAAATCAGATCAGAAAGGAGCACATTTGGAGCTTTCATTCCTGCTCCTTAAGTCACTGCTACCAGGACCTCAGCTCAATCATATCAGTTAACTTCTTGATCTCCAAATCTCTAAAATGCAGTGCAAACAGCTGATAGTTCAAGAGAAATTTAATGATATGAAAGCCTACAGATCCTACTATGTTTACCAAGTTTTGTTTTGTTTTTAAAAGAAAAATGTGAGATGCCAAAATAAAGAAAAGGACAAATCCATCTTTCTGGTTCACATCTGCAACCTTACTCCTCCTTCTCCTCCTGTTCCTCTCCTCCCCATCCTATTCATGCAAACCCAAACACTAACAAAGTGCTCAGCCTGTTGGAAAGAAAGTTTGGGTACTATCCACACAGGTAAGAAGTAATCATGATGACAAGGTGGAGAGAAAAAGAACAGCAGCAAGTCACAGCCCCATTGGCTTCTGCCTGTCCTGACTGGCAAAAGCAGAAAGCAAAGCCTCAAACCAGTTCTCTGACAGGGCCCAACGCCTCTGCAGCACCCCCGTGTAATTACACACTTGAGTGACTGGACTCTGAAGAAAATTGAAGGCCTGAGCTCCGAACAGCTGCCATTTTCTCTCTCCATCACACCAGCGTGATTACTTGAGAAATGAACAGCCCCGGCTCAAAGCTACTCCAGAATTCTCAGAGGAAATATGGCTCCGTGTTCCAATAATGAGATTCTTAAGGCAAGCGTTACTTACAATCACTCCGCAAAAGGAGCGAGCCGAGCCCCTATATCTTACAAATTAGAATTTAAGAAACCCAGCGACAGTCTTGGACGATCATTACTCTTCTGCTGCTCCAAGGATTCTGGGCTTTGGTCTATTTTTAGTGCAGAAAACTGTTAAGTCCTTAAAAACGTAATCATAATAAAATGAAAACTCACCATAATTAGCTTCCTAAAAAGGCAAATTCCACCCCATTTTAGGGTCAGACTGACAGATTCTTCCACTCTCTCATTATTACCCTTTTCTGCTAGAAAGTCTTGGCTTTATCAAAATGAGAATTAGCAATCTTCGTATTAAAATTAAAAAGCAAAAAAGTCTAACTAATCAGAGATCGTCCTTCTTGGATTGAGAAAAAAAAAATCAGTCTTGTTGCCAGAGATAATATCACCTCTTTCTCGAAACCTGTCATTTGGGGAAAGTGAAATATTACATAGTACTGATATACATATTTTTTCCTTTCAAATGCTTCTTCTGGTTTCCCCACCATCTAGCCATTCTAGGGTAGCAAAGGTAATGAACTCATCCTGTAATTAAATACTTGTAAAAGTATCTAATTTCTAACAAAAGGTTACCGTATTTTTTGGACTATAGGACGCACCTTTCACACCCCAAATCTGGGAGAAATAATGGTTGTTAATGCAGCTGTTGAGTTCTGTTTACATTTACATTGGTGAAATATTATGTTATTTACGTTATTAAATATTTTACCACATTTTTTGCTTCAAAAATTTTCCCCCTATTTTCCTCCTCTAAAACCTAGGTCCATCTTATGGTCTGAAAAATACTGTATGTCCTAGAGAGTTAACCAGCTAGGCAGCTAACTGAATCAGTGACTCTACTGTCAACCAGAGATGTAAGATAGATTCCCCAAATTCTGAACTATGAAACAAAAAATAGTAGTGAAGATTTATGGTTTCTTCCCTCCAAGAAGGAATGATAGAATTAAGGTACCAAAAATGCTAATTCCACAGAGACAAGAAAAGGAAAATCTAGAAGCCAAAGGTACTCTAGTCCCCCCCAAAAGACATACATGCAAAAGCAAGGCAATTGTTCATGGGGTGGGGGGACTCTAAGAATAGCCCTGTTGTTCTCCGATTCCTAGAATTAACTGAACCAGCAAAATCTGAAGGATTTACAAATCATCTTTAAAACCAAAAATTCCACCCACCAGTCAAATATACGTCAGTCCTATTCACACCTACTAGTCTTACCTTATTCCCACTTTCCACAAACTCTCATTATTACTAGTTATGGGCACAAAAGTACATATCTACTACCAGAACAATAACCTGAGCCTAGGTTTCTATGTAAATAAAACAGAAAGGGACAAAAGAAGATGCAGAATACATTTAAATGGTTTTCTTTGGTCAGGGAGGGGCAGTACTGGATTTCAAACAGTTATTTTTTGCTTTTAAGTTTTGGACATGAGAGTCACTGCTGACATTCATGGAACAAACAAGACTTCTAATGAAAAAGTACAGTGGCTGAATAAGACTAAATTTTAAAGGTACTGTCATGAGTGACAACAGGAATGAAGAAGCACAGGGCATCCCTAAGTAGAGTCAAGAGATTTGAGTTTCTGTGCGTGATTATATGCCTAATAGTCAGAATGATTCTTTCCTGATTGGAGCAGTTCCCTTCAGGTCAAGGACAAAGGAAGATGTGAGAAACTGTTAGCCCACAAACCAAGCCCCATACATCACACAATTATAAAAGACAAGTGTTTTTCTCTTGACCACAGCCATCAAAAGGAGAAATACTTTTTTCATATCATTAATCATCCTTACAAGTTCTGACAAATTGCACTTACAATAAGCATTGTGACCAGAAGATTCTTCTTGGTGACTTGAGCGTGAGAGAAGATATAGTTCAGTACAGTGTTCATGTCACTCTTATTCTCCTCCCGAAGGGCGAACACACATTTGTCATAGTGACCTGCAAGCAGCGAAAAGAAATGGTCCTCACCCATCTATGAATGTTCACATTTACATGCTATTTATAATTCTCCTGATAAGCTGTGAGAGGAAATATCACAAAAATCTTCTTGGAGGAAGTTGGACAGAATTGGCAGTGTGGTTTAGTAAAAAGAACACTGGACTAGGTAGGAATCAGGCAATCTGGTGTAAGTCCTGAGCTCAAAGCCTAGTTCAGGCTGCCAGTTTACTATGTGTTCCTGGACAAATCACTTAACGTCTCTGAGCCTCGTTTCATTTAAAAAAAAAAATTGAGAGGTGGAGGAGGGTGTACCGAGAGGCTAAGGGGTTAGGAGTAACTTCAACCACCCCACCCTTACTCTAAACTCTCTCATTTAGCTTCCTGGGATGATTTCCCTAGAAGAGAAGGTTCTGCTACTTGAAAAGAAATGGTAACACCATTAAACCCAATGATCTTTAAAGTCTGCTCCAACTTAAGAGTCTGGTTCCCTGTTTGACTCACTAAAAATGTTTCACCCTAACTAGAAGGAATAGTTTTACTTCAAAATAAAACCACACAAATGTATTAATACCCACAAGAAGGATGGCTGCTACCCCTGGAATCAACACTTTTCCCTTGTAAGTCCATGAAACACTAAGAAATGCCTAGGAATGCCAAATCCAGACTAAGGCATAGATCAAGGAGAGCCCTGCATTAAGTCAAAAGGTCTGCAGGGAGAGCACAGTTATGGATATTTTCACTGGCCTTTCATAGGGCCACCAGGGGCAGGTTCATTCTGGCCAGGAAAGCTGTTTTGCAACAGAAGCATAAGCTTCAGATATACTGGGATGAAATCTAGCATGAGATATAATAGTCACTTCTTCAGGAAACAGCTTACCTCAGAATTAAATTTCCAAGTAAAGGAGAATTAGTGTTTGAGTAGTCTCAAGGGTCAGAATTTTATGAAATCATAACAATACTAAGTGATTATCGCCTCAGTTCAGATTCCATATTAAGTTACAAAACAAAACAGTGGCATTCAAACTGCATCACCAGGGATTCCTAGAATACTAACTACACTCAACCAGGGCAACTCTGCTTTGATCTGTTTTAAATATCAAAGACCAATGTAAGATTTGTTTTTTCGAAATGAAACTAAAAAATATGTGAAAAACAATGGACTACAATATCTAAAAAGCTGCCAATTTAATAGAAGACCCATTTAGAAATAAATGGAGGCTGTTTAAAAAGTCCTATATAAATTCCTGTTTCTCCCAACCAAGACTTAGCTTTGAAGTGAAAACAGAAATATTTCTTGGTAACAGAAATTACTAGGACCAGGGGAAGTAAAAAAAAGAATATTTACCCAGGGGAGAGACACTGCACAGAAAGAAAGCAATGATACCAAGTGTTTTCTTTTTGAAACTTTTTATTGTGCAGCATCCATACAGAGAAATATATAAAATAAACATCCATGTAACTACCACCTTTCTTAAACAGAACATGTTTTGGTCCCTTTCAAGGTTCCTATGTGCCCTCCTCAGAAACAACTACTAAGCTGAATTTTATGTTAATCATTCTTTGGCTTTTCTTTACATTAATCACAAAACTTTCATCTTTTCTGTTTTTCAAGTTGGTTACAATGGAATCATTGTGTATGGACCTTTCCCTGAACATTACATTTTGAGAGTCATCCTTTTGTTCACTGTGTGCCTTGGGTCATCATTTTCACTGCTGTATAGCAATCCATTGTAGAAATAAAATACACTGTACTAAAACTCAATGATCTGTTCTACTTGTATATATTTAGATTGTTTCCTGTCTTCCTTACTACTGTGAACGATGCTGCCACAAAGAGTCCTATGTATGTCTCACAATAAGCATGTGTAAAAGGTGCTCTAGAGTATATTACCTTAAAGTGAAACTGTTAGGTTGAAGAAGATACAGAAATTCAACTCTTCTATGAACTATTGACAAACCATTTCCTAAAGTGGTCTGCTCTTTGGAAATTTGCATTTCCGCTTACAGAAGCAGTGGAAGCAGTGTGCCTTTCTAATTCTTGCCAGTCTCATTGTGGTTCTGGCTCACAATTCTCTAATTAATACTGAGATTGAACGTCTTTTCAGAAGTGTGTGTTCCCCTTCCTGTGAATAATCTCTGGATCTTTTCAATCTTTTCTCTCTTAGGTTGTCTTTTACTTACTGATTCATAGGATTTCGTTATAGATTGTAGATACTGATCCTTTCTTAGGTACATGTTTTGTAAATATCTTCTCCCAGTGTGTGGCTTGTATTTTCACTCTTTTTTTCCTCTTTATTTATTTATCTTTAGAGGGGAAGGGAAGGAGAGGAGAGATATATCAATGTATGGTTGCTTCTGGTACATCCTCTGCTGGGAACTGGCCCCTGCTGGGAACTGACCTGCAACCCAGGCATGTGCCCTGACTGGGAATTGAACCGTGATACTCTGGTTCACAGGCCTGCGCTCAGTCCACTGAGCTACGTATTTTCACGGTATCTTTTCATAAACAAAAGTTCTTAAGTGGGGTCAAATTAATTAACCTTTATCTTTATAGGCTGCATTTGCTGTGTCTTGTATGATAAAATCATCCTTACCCTGAAGTCATAAGGATATTACCCTAAAAATTTAATAGTTTGCCTCTTTAGTACATGTTTAAGGCTTTAATTCATCTGGAATTGATTTTTGTATGTATATAATACAAGGAATGGATTCAATTTCTTCTTTTGGTTTTGCAAATGAACACTTGCTCTGCTATAAAGTAAGTTTTCACGTGTGTGGACCTATTTCTGAGCTATTATGTTCTATTGGTCTATTAATCCGTATTGACACTAATATTATCATCTCTTCATTAATATGGCTTTACATTTAATCTTGATATTTGACTGGAAAAATCCCTCTACCTTATATTTCTCAGCTACTTGATTACTGTCAGGCTTTTCTTTCATGAAAATTTTAGAATTAGCTTGATAAATTCCATGAAAATACCATACTAGGATTTTTATTGCAATGTTAATAAATCTGGAAATGACTTTAGGGAGAATTAACATTTTGCAAGTATATATTTCAATCTAAGACCATGATTATTTATTTAGATTTTCTTTATTATTGCTAACTAGTTATAATTTTCTCTAAAAAGTCTTGTACATTTTTTATTAGATTTATTCCTTAGTGTTTATTATTCTGGGTTGCTATTTTAAATGGTATATTTTTCTAAACTGCTCTTCTAAACAACTGTTCTGCTATAAAGAAATACAGGGAACTTTATATATTGACTTCTATATGTAGCAACCTTGCTAAACTTAAAATCATTCTAATAATAAATATACGGATTCTCTCAGGCTTTCCAGGTAGATATCATGCTGTATCTAACAGCGGCAGATTTATTTCCTTACGCCTTTCCAATCCTCATAACTTTAATTCTTTTTCTCGTCTTACTGCATTAACTAGGACATCCAGGATGATGCTGAATATTAGTGATAGCAGGTGTCCTTGTATTGTTCTTAATCTTAAAGAGAGTACTTTTAACATTTTACCATTATGTATCCTATAGATTTTTGTTGGAGAACCTTTACATGATTAAAGAAGTTCCATTTCATTTTTCACTTGCCAAGAGTTTTCATGAATGAATTTTAAATTTTGTCAAATGCTTTCTTCCCCATATCTTGATATGATGACCATGTTTTTTTCCTCTTTTAAAGTTATTTCATGATGAATTACAATAATTGGTTTTTCCAATATTACTCAAGCTTACATTAGTGGGATGAAGCCAACTTGGGTTTGATGTATTACTTTATACATTGCTGGATTTAGTATGCTAATATTTTCTTAGGATTTTTGCTAGTTGTGAGTGGAAGAGCCAACCTTTAAAGGATGCAAGCTAAAAGAAAATGTTAGGTAGTATTCCAAATTATATGATGTTTCACTGCCATCTTGTGGCAGCGAGCAGTATCAGCAGTATATACCCTTAAAATTTTAGCCAGGGTGTTTCACACTTCATACATCCTTTAGAGTAGCTCAGCTCTTCATAGAAAGCCAGGGATAAACTCTACCTAAATGATACACTGAAAAGTGGTGGAAAAATCTGAACCTTTTTCAGATCCCCGTGGTTCAATCCCTGGATTAGGTGCTGACAGGCAAGCTCTTCAGATAGGGTTTCTCAATTTCAGCCTAGTCATGATTCAACCAACTCTCTCTGTACAAGGTTGAGAAGATATCAACAGGGAATGCTAATCTCTACCAGAAAAATTATCTCAGCCCTTTCCCAGAAGCACATGGATTCACAATCTCATCAAGCTGTGTTTTGCTGTTGTTCTTTCTTTGGCAGTAGTAGGAAATAGAGGTTTAATTTTTAAGGGAGCTGGGAAAGGAGGAAGAGTTTGTTAATGGTAAGTGTCAGGGACAGGACGAACTGGCTGGCTGCTGCGCAGCCCTACAGGGACACTGTCTCAGATGGAGTTCTCAGGAAGAGGCCTACCGTTCTGGAACTGCGTCTCCACTCGCAGGTACTGCCGCAGCAGATCCATCACCACAGCCTTCATGTGGCCTCGGATGCCACTTCGGTACCTAGGCAAATAGAAGTCTCTGCTGAACAACCTGACACGCTCATACTATTACATAACAGACTATTAAATAACAAACCCAGAGCCCATATTTACTTTCCATACTTTTCACTGAACTGCTTTCCCTCTGTATTGGGCAGGACAGAGGCCAGCCTATAACCAACTAACCAGGATTCATTCGAATCCTAAACCTTAAAGAAATCTGGCTAAAAACAAGATATTTTATAAAGAGAAAGGAAAAAAAAGTGACCAAAACCCACCTGATAGCCCTACCTAACAAACAATACACTGGTTCAATTCCCACTAGTAAGTAGAAATGATTACCACACCCGTGAAATGTCTAAGAGAGAGCTGAAAAATGTATGAGTATCTTCCTTTGGCACAGTAGTTGGCTCCATAAGCTAAGAAACAGAGAATGTTACATTGGGTCCTTCCTGTGCCAGAAGAAAAATTAGGGATTTCATCAAAATTGCAAGGAAAATGAAAATGAAATTTCTGTGCCTTATTAACAAAAAGATGTAGAATACAAAGAAGTCATCAAGAATATTAAGAGTTAGCTCACAATTCTAAGATACTTATTTAGAAGATATAAGGTAATTTCCCAAGATATAATACGTGCTTTCTGATTTAGCTAAGTCAAATCTGAAGAAAATCCCTTTGTGACTACTTAGAAGAAAGGAAGGTGTGAGGACGGATAGTTCTGGGAATCTGGAGTTACATGTAACTACCTCTGTACCAGCTGGACAATACTCTGAGTGTTCATGAAGAAGACTTCCCTCTCAGATTTCCGGTTCAGTGTAGCTGCATGGCTATCTAGGATGTTGGCAATCTAAAGCATAAGAAAGAGAAAAAATGAAGCCCAGACCATTAAAGGGAACCAAAGTATTAACCTGTAGAATAACATCACCACCAGGAATCTTCTTCATTATAACATAATTTCTCTCTTTTATATGGGAGTAGCTGGAAGTTACTAGGCATAGTTTAAGGGCTTGTATTAAATAAGCAAGCAACTTTTATTTCTTTCCACCCCTTCCCAGATGAACTAATGAGTGTATCACAAAAACTACCACAGTCCATGACAAGTAAGATAAGCCAAGGGTCCAAACTTTACTTCCCACTTGCCTGGCTTTAATCCCTACATGTAAATTTCCTTTATAGCCAAAGGAAAAGCATGCTGCTGAGGTGGTAAAGAAGTCTTTGGTAATAAAACTGTGAATACTCCTCTACTTCAGATTACAAAAATACCTCTGATTAAGGTAGAGTCTCAGGAACAAACCTGTATGGAGTATGTGGCCAATATCCTTTTCTCATAACCACAGATACTTTATATTTCACATACAGTACTTTTACTGGACTTGTATTCTGAGGCAGTTTTTTTGAAGTCAACAATGCTTAACACTATAACAACACAACATCCAGACAGTAAAGAGGAGCCAAACAGGAAAGAATCCTACAACATGAACTCCAGAACTGGTAGCCATTAGAAAATGATAGTGTCACTCTATAAATACCTGCTGGCTGGGAAACTGACAGAGGACTGATGTGATGTTGCTAGCATACTGAGCCATTTCCTTCTTAATAGACTTCTCCACATTGGGGGGTATGCGGCCAGAGACGCTGGTCATGATATCCTGCAATTCTAGGAGAGGTAAGGAGGGATCTCTGAGGGTCTTCATCAACCGCTCTACCCAGTCTTTTACCTAAGAAGAAGGAAATAATAAAATAGGATCCAGACAAAAATAAGACAATCCCCAAAATAAAATGATATACCTGAATTCACTATCATATATCAACTTACTTTGAAATTGCAATAAAAAAATCTAACATAGCCCTTGTACGCTGGTTTAGTTCCCAATTAAATGTGAAGTCAACAACATAGGTAAGAAGCAAGAATTTAAAGATTTCAAATCTCACAACTAAAAAGGGAAAAGAGGTCCGTCTAAAAAAAAATCCTTATGCGACTTAAACTATCTTGGAGAACAGTACCTTACCTTATTTGTATATCCCTTCCCCAAGAGAAGAAATTCATACCCTGCTGCTAAAGAAAGGATCTGGAAGGCAGTATCCATTCATCACATTGACCAGATTATCCAGGACATAGTGGAACACTCGATGGAGCTTCTCCCCTTGAAGTGCTGTGCTCTGGATCTGTGGTAGACTACCGGTGTGAAGCTCAGCCTGTCAACCCCAAACACAAGAGAAATCAAGTCATCCACGACTTTCTATGCAGGGTACAAACACACCATTGCAACTTAGAAACATCATTCAAAAATCAAGATATCCGGACTTCCGCCAAGATGGAGGCATAGGTGGAGACGCCGTGCTTCCTCACACAACCAAGTTTTTTTTTGTTTTTTTGTTTTTTAAATATACTTTATTTTTTTTAATATTTTCTTTATTTATTTTTCGAGAGAGGGGAAGGGAAGGAGAAAGAGTGGGAGAGAAACATCAATGTGTGGGTGCCTCTCATGCGTCCCCTGCCGGGAACTGGCCTGCAACCCAGGCATGTGCCCTGACTGGGAATCGAACCGCGATACTCTGGTTCGCAGGCCCGCACTCAATCCACTGAGCTACGCCAGCCAGGGCCACAACCAAGTTTAAAGACAACTAAATAATAGCAACAAAAAACACAGCCAGAACACAGAAAATTGAACTTTTCAGAAGTCTGATAACAACAAATTCTCCAGCCTGACCAGTAAGAGGGGCGAAACCAGCAGCTGGCAGAGCGGGGTAGCACAGGAAAACTCGGTCAGACGGACTCAGGCACGCAGAATCCAGGCGCAGGGTTGGACCTGGTGGGCAACTCAGCAAGCAATCTCGGGGAAACAGCGAGGGAGCAGGGCTGCGGGTTGACTGTGGTCGCACATTTGTGTGTGGATAGACAAGCGAGGGAGTGGGCGATTGGACGAGAGCCAGCAGCCCCAGTGGCAAGAGGCGGCCAGCTGCAGCGGAGGGCACTGCCATTTCCCCGCTCTAACCCCGCCTCCACATACAGCATCATAATCCAGCGACCTAAGTGGCCCTGCCCCGGTGAACAACCTAAGGCTCTGCTCTTCACCAAGCTGCGAGAAACAGCAGAGGGGGCCGCCATTTCCCTGCTCTGACCCTGCCTCCACATACAGCGTCACAACCCAGCAACCTGGTAGTCCAAGGCTCTGCTCCTCATACTTAAGGGGCACAAACAGACCAAAAATGGCTCAAGAAGATCTCAAAGCCCCAGAGCCTATAAATCTAAGCAATGAAGAAATAGCAAAACTCTCAGACGCACAGTTTAAAACACTGGTCATCAGGATCCTTACAGAACTGGTTGATTTTAGCCACAAATTAGAGAAACATACAAAGGTGAAACTAATTGAAATGAATGGAATTGCACAGGAAACCAATAGCAATGAAAAGGAAACTGGGACTCAAATCAATGGAGTGGACCAGAAGAAAGCAAATAATGGCCAAACAGAAAAGAGTCAAGAAGCAAGAATTCAAAAAAAATGAGGAGAGTCTTAGGAACCTCCAGGACATCTTTAAACGCTCCAACATCTGAATTATAGGGGTACCAGAAGGGGGGAAAGGAACAGCCACCAGTGGAAAACTTATTTGAACAAATAATAAAGGAGAATTTCCCCAATCTGGCAAAGGAAATAGACTTCCAGGAAATCCAGGAAGCTCAGAGATTCCCAAAGAAGTTGGACCCAAGAAGAAACACACCAAGGCACATCATCATTACATTAGCCAAGATTAAAATGAAGAAGAGAATCCTAGAAGCAGCAAGAACTAAGGGGACAGTCACCTACAAAGGAGTTCCTATCAGACTGTCAGCGGATTTCTCAAAAGAGACCTTACAGGCAAGAAGGGGCTGGAAAGAGGTATTCGAAGTCATGAAATCCAAAGACCTACAACCAAGATTGCTCTATCCAGCAAAACTTTCATTTAGAATGGAAGGACAGATAAAGCGCTTCTCAGATACGATCAAATTCAAGGAGTTCATCATCACCAAGCCCTTAAAGAAAAAAAAAATCAAGATATCCTTCACCATTTGCAGCTCTAAGGAAAGAAGTCAATGGAGGAAGCCTCATGAAAAAAAAAAGTCATAGAATCTTATTATCATAACAAATCCTGCAAACTATAGTTTCAAAATATGTAAGACACAAGATCCAAGAGGAAAAATCTTAAGAAAAACTACCAAACCAAACACTGAAATGATCTGCCCCTCCAAATTACCCTGTCATGTAGTTAGCTCTTGGAAAGCAGTATTAAAAGTACCTTCCTACTTACCTGCTGGACCTTGCTGGGGTTATCCAATTGCATTTTGGCTATTACACAGCCCGGGTCAAGAGCTGCTCCAGGCCGCTTGACGTAATGAACACAGCCAGACTCTATGGCTGTTAAAGTCATTACCATCTTCATCACCTGTAATGAAAAATAAATAAAATTAGAATTTGACCTCTCTTTACACAGATGAATGATTTAAAGAGGTCAGTTTTTTCCTCAACATCTAAGTTGAACTGTATCTTATTCAATCCAGAAAAATGGAAATCGATCAAAATGCCCAAGAGGTTACCAAGGAAGACAATTAGAAAATCTTTCAGGACCTAGCTTCAGAGATTAATGACAGCTACTGACATTTCCTGTTTTTAATATTTATATTCATTTTGCGATAGTTTGTGTTTGTACTTGTTTTGTTTTTAGAAGTGATGAACAATTTAACCTTTTCATACCCTCAGATCTAAATGCTCTCTTTGACTGTCTATGTAAGATACCCCGGCTAAAAACCTAAGAGTCATTCTTTACTCTTCTTTTCCCCTTATCTAACAATTATGAAGCCCAGCCAAATACATCTGCTAAACCTCTCTCAAAAATCTCCTCTTGCCAGCTGTTTTGTTTAAGCCCTCATCACTTCTGGCCTAGAGTACTTTAAAACCTCCCAACAGATTCCCAACTGCTAGACATTTCCAACAAGGACACTAAAAGCAATTACTACAGAGGCCAAATCTTGTCATGTCACCTTTCTTTTTAAGTATATTTTATTGATTATGCTATTACAGCTGTCCCAACTTTTCCCCCTTTGCTCCCCTCTGCTCAGTACCCACTTCCCTCTACCAATACCCCCCTTAGTTGATGTCCATGGGTCATGCATATAAGTATACTATTCTTAATATCCCATCTATTTTGTACCCACCAATTATGCTTCTTAATCCCTGTACCTTTCCCCCATTCCCCCTTTCCCCTCCCAGCTGATAAACTTCCAAATGATCTCTATTTCTGATTCTATTCCTATTCTAGTTGTTTGCTTAGTTGGTTTTTGTGCTTTAGATTCACTTGATAGTTGCGAGTTTGTTGTTATTTTACTGTTCATAGTTTTGATCTTCTTTTTCTTAAGTCCCTTAACATTTTATATAATAAGGGCTTGGTGATGGTAAACTCCTTTAGCTTCACCTTGTCTGGAAAGCACTTCATCTACCCTTCCATTCTAAATGAAAGCTTTGCTGGATAAAGTTATCTTGGTTGTAGGTCCTTGCTTTTCATCACTTTGAATACTTGTTGCTAGTCCCTTCTTACCTGCAAGGTCTGTTTTGAGAAATCAGCTGCCAGTCTTATGGGAACTCCTTGGCAGGTAATTCTCCACTTTTCTCTTGCTGCTTTTAAGAGTCTCTCCTTCTCTTTAACCTTTGGTGTTTTAATTATGATGTGTCTTTGGTGTGGTTGTCTTTGGGTACAACTTGTTTGGGACTCTGTGCTTCCTGGACTTGTATGTCTACTTCCTTTGCCAAATTAGGAAAGTTTTCTTTCATTTTTTTTTCCAAATAAGTTCTCAATTTCTTGCTCTCCATCTTCTCCTTCTGGCATCCTATGATTTGGATGTTGGCACTTTTGGAGATGTACCAGAGTCTTCTTATTCTCTCCTTGATTTTTTTGAATTCTTATTTCTTCATTCTGTTCTGGTTGATTGTTTATTTCTTCCTAATGTTCCAAATCATCCATTTGAACCCTGGCTTCCTTCCCTTCACTGTTGGTTCCCTGTGGATTTTCTTTATTTCACTTAGTGTAGTCTTCATTTCTTCCCTTATGCTTTTGAGTGAGTTCTCTGAGCGTCCTTATCACCATTGTTTTGAACTCTGCATCTCATAGGTTGGCTATCTCTGTTTCACTTAGTTCTTTTTCTGGAGTTTTACTCTGTTCCTTCATTTGGGCCATATTTGTCTCCTTGATTTAGCAGCCTCCCTGTGTTTGTTTCTGTGTATTAGGTAGAGTTGCTTTGACTCCCTGTCTCATCGCACCTGTTAAGTTATATGGGGCAGAGCCTTAGATATGTGCCAGGGCAGGGCAACACACTTCACTGCTTTGTACATGTGGAAGAGGTTGGAGAAGGGACAATGCCACTGCCTGGCTGCTGGAGGTTTGCTCGGCACTTTGCCATTTCCAGTCTCTTCAACCCCTTCCTATATGTTACTACCCTCCTTCAGCTGCTGCCCCCATGGTGATTTCCAGAGTGGGTAGGTTTGCACATGTTCTAGGAATTGTGGGTCCTTTAAATGGGCTCTCCCAAGAGACCAACAGTTTATTCTGCTACGCTAACCCCCACTGGTTTTTATAGCCAGAAGTCATGAGGCTTTATTTTCACAGTCCTGTAACCCTGGGCTGTACATGCAGTCTTGCCTGGGGCTGGGATCACTCACTCCCAAGGTGTCTCTCCCAATTTTCATCCACCACATATGAATGTGGAAACACCTGTTCAGCAGGCTGCCACCACCTCGCCACTACCACACTGTGTCTTCTGCGCCCCAGGTCCCTGTCTCCACCCCTCCTACCAATCTGGATGAATATGGCTTCTTTAAATCCTTGGTTGACGGACTTCCATATGGTTCAATTTTCTGGCAGTTCTGGGTGTTTTTTGTTTTGAAGTTAGTTGTGATCCTTCTTAGGGCTGTGCAAGGAGGTGAAGCATGTCTACCTTTGCCTCCATCTTGACTGGAAGTCTCATATCACTTTTCCCTGTAAAATCCTTCCAAGGTAGTCTAAGCTTTCTTAGTATGTTTTATAAGGTCCTTCACGATCTCAAACTCCATTTATTTAGCATCTATGCTTGCCATTTCCCATTAAAATTGATTCCATTCTCAAACAATACCAATATGTACTTGCAGTTCCCTAAATATGCCATACTATCTTGCTTCTGTGCCTTTATTACATGGCTGTTCACTCGCCTTTAAACATTCTTCCCTGTTCTTCTTCACCTAGTCAATTAATTATACTATTTATCTCTCAAAACTAAGATCAAAGACCCCTCTCACAGGAAGTCTTCCCTTATTAACCACCCACATCCATCCAGCCCCACACTGATTTGGGTTAGGTGGTCCTCTGCACTCTGTGTCGGCTCTATAAGAATTCATAATTCATTACTTGTCTGTTTTGTGTTCCCCTTCCACCTTTTATATATTTTCATGTAGAATCAACACTTAACATAATACCTAACACATAATAAGCACTGATCCCTAGTATCTATTTTTGTAGCTAGAGATTCCTTATCGATCAAAGAAAAATCGTGAGCTTTGTATTTGATGTTGAAATCTTAAGGTTCCTAACCCTCATGAAATTAACTGATACTCTTTCCTGTCTATTTTCTATTTACTTGCAGTTACTTCAGTCCTAGCCCATCCCAGACAATCCCATTCCTACCTTCCCTCCCATGACCCAAAGCCCAATCACCCCCCTGACCTCAATCTCAGCATAGCACTGGCCAGCAAACACATGGCCTCCGTCCTCCACAATGTACTGGATTAATTTTCCAGCAGAAGGTGACCGCATCACTGAAGGGTCATTCTCCTTCTCAAACACACAGGTTTTATTGCCAATCGTGATGCGATATCTAGGAGATAAGTGAAAGTAGGTAAGCCAATAAAGCACTCAGGTTGTAACAGAAAGGTAGAATAGTGCCAATCTTAAAAAATAAATAAATAAAGAAAGAAAGAGAGAGAGAGAGAAAGAAAGAGAGAGAGAGAGAGAGAAAGAAAGAAAGAAGGAAAGAAAGAAAGTTAGTTAGTTAAAAACTTAATTCCGTACCAATACATGCACACAGGATATTCATGCCATCTTCACTTACAATGCCAAATAACAAAATCTGCTTCAATAAGGGTCAGGGTAAATCAATTATGATATACCCGTATAATGGAATACTATACAACCATTACAAAAGTCAGGTACCTCTATTAAAAAAACACACACAAAGATGATGATGATGTAATAGCTAACATTTCTTGAACTCTTACTATACCCTAAGTTCTAAGCATTTTACATATGTTAATTCATTTAACTGTCACTAAAACCTTGATTGTTAAGGAAAAAATAAGATGCAAAACAGTAGCTAAACACAATTTTTATTTGTGAATGCCTCTACAAGAAAAACACAGCATGTACATCTACGTAACTTGTAGATGCATACAAAATTTCAATACATAAGAAACTGTTAACAGTGGGTACTTATAAAGAAGAGAACTTATTTTTCATATCACCCACATTGGAGTGGCAGAGACACAATGTTTTTCATTGTAAACACTTTTTGTACTCGAGATTTTTGTTAAGTGCATGTATTATTTTTGTAATTAAAAGAGAATACCAAAAAGACCTTGAAAAATCCCAAGAGCTAGTGACTACTGAGAGCAAAAGGTGATACAATGACCAACAACTAGCCCTCACACAGCCACTCACCTATCCACTTCTTCCTTCATGTATGTGGTATAACTGCTGCCATCGTAGGACAAGAGCAGTCCTCCATCACTCAGCCGATGCACATCTACCTCCACACAGGAGCCATTCATGATCACCACGTAGGAGTTAGGGGACTGTCGAGTCACCTAGGGAATGAAAACCACCAGGGACAAGTTAGTATCCCTTCAAGGTGGAGTCCCAGAAAAAAATTCAGTATCTCAAAAATATAGGAAAAAAAGATCTCTCAGAGGGAAAGGAAATTCATGGCATTGGTGCCCTTGGCATTGGTATCTGTGGGCAGGGCCCAGCCCTGCTTCAAGCAAACAGGTGACTTTACATGCTTTCCCAGTTTGGTTGTTCTCTGTCTCCTTAATCTCTTCGTTCCATATGTAACGTTGAGGAACAACTAAAATATTTTCAGAAAACCATCAAATATTGCTTCTGGCTTTTGACACAAATAATGACTATAATTTCACTAATACAGTCCTGCAGTGAACCAAACTTTTCCCCCTATCTCTTGATCTACAGGAAACAAGCTAACAAAGAGAGACGAAAAATAAGGTATAGGCTTCAGTGGAGTTCAGCATACCTTAAGTACATACTTGACTCCCTCATAGATAAGTTCAACATCTACAGTGTTCAGAAGTGTATGAGCAGGAAGGACTTGACCCCTGAAAGAACAACAATGTGAGATACATTACTTCTAAAAAGTTCTAGAAGTTTATAAGGGAATCTCAAAGTTTATTGGTTATAGCAATTCCTGGAATATCAATACTAGAAACCACCTAAATGACTATCAGTCTGGGACTGATACATAAATTATGAAAAAAGCCATATAATGAAGTATTATGCAGCTATTAAAAAGAAAACAAAGTTTTGTACTAATATAAAAATATTCTCAAAATAATAATAAAAGCAAGTACAATTGTACAGGACAGTTTCAGAGTTGACTACCATTTGGGTTTTAAAGAGTAGGAGTGGGAAGAAATAACTATTACATGTATATAATTATATAAATGTACAATGTCTGGAAGATCACAGAAGGAACTGGTATGTAGACCTTCTATAGGGAATGAAACTGGATGGACTGGGAATAAAGGTAAGGAGACTTTTCGTTGTATGCCTTTTGTGCTTTTTGAGTTTGAACCATGTGAATATATTACCTGTACTTAAAAATAAAGAGTAAAACTTAAAAAAAGAAAAACGTCCCAGCACAACCAGCCCTAATCTACTCCTGTCAACTGGGATATTATTTGAGGTCTTAAAGAAAAAGCAGCAGAACATGGCTGGGTGGAGAGGGAGAGACACTGTCAAGGAGGAAACATCAAAAAAGAATCTGATGATAATAATAAAGAGAGGGAGTAATAGAGCAAGTGGGGCAGACTGTGAATAAATGGTGAATCTAGGCAAAGAATACACTGAAGTTGTTTAGACACTTCTATAAGTCTGAAATTATTTCAAAATACAAGTGTTCAAAATGACACTGAAGAGGAAGGGGAGTGTGTAGAGAAGATTACGGATGACACATCTGTACACTAGTAGAAACCATTTAACGAGATAAAGACTGCATGCTGCAAAACACAAATTTGTAAGACTGGACTGGTAAAAAGGGGCCAAAGTATATAAGGAGTTAAAAGTCACACCTAGGGGTTTAGTTTTGATATAAAAGGGTAATATGAGCTTCTAGAGGGTTTAGTGCATTAGAGTAACCAAGTGAAAGACATTTATCATAAGACTTGTATAACTGTGAAATCTCAGCTCAATTTTCTTTTTTGAATCCTCACCTGAGGACATGCTCACTGATTTTATAGAGGAAGGGCAGAAATTTCAGTGTGTGAGAGAAACATCAATTAGTTGTCTCTCATATGTGCCCCAACCAAGGACCAAACTTGCAACCTAGGCATGTGCCCTGACCAGGAATCGAACCCACTACCTTTTGCTTTACAGGACAACACCGACCAACTGAACCATACTGGCAAAGGCTCCCAGTTCAATTTTTAAATTTTTTCTTTTTTTCCTTTCAGATACCTCAAAAAGGAGCACGAGGAAACAAAGTGCCTGTGATTAAAGTTCTTTAAAATGATTAGCTCTGCCCTGGCTGGTGTAGCTCAGGGGATTGAACACTGGCCTGAGAACTGAAAAGTCACTGGCTCGATTCCCAGTCAGGGCACATGAGCCAGGTTCCAAGTTGGGGGTGCATGAGAGGCAACCACACACTGATGTTTCTCTCCCTCTTTCTCCCACCCACCTTCTCTCTCTAAAAATAAATACATAAAATCCTAAATATATATATATAAATGATTAGCCCTTGGACCATTCTTTCGGGGACTCAAAGGCAGAGCTTGGTTTAGCCCCATACAATCTGATCCTCCACTTGAAAGATGCATGCGATTACCCTGAATATGAGCCTCAATTATTAATTCTTAAAAGGTGTTGCAGGTAAATATAAAATATTCAGGGTTCAATGCTAAAGAGAAACACCAGATTTCCTTCAGGGATTAGAAAAATGTGATGCCTGTACTGGACAGAATGTTGACTTCAGCAGGATTCTAACTGCAGTATAAGCTAATTTCTAGAATCTACAGTAAAGTCCTAAATAATTTGCCATAAACTCCTCCATCCCTTTTCTCCCATACCCATGGGCCAGTGAATAACAGGCAGCAGTAACAAGCTGCCAGAAGCAAGGAAAATAATAAATGGGTCTTTGAACTTCACTTCAGTCCTGTACTCAGGCCCACTGGTTAACTTGCACGACCTATGAGAAGCAAAGCCTACCTTTCTAAGGAGTGAAGGAAGTTAGAGATGCTGTTCCGCAGGCTCACATCAGCCACATGGAGAGCCCCACAGACAACTCCCAACATAGTGTCAGGTCGCTCTGCCTGAAAGGAAGAACACAGGGCAGATTAAAAGCACGGTCCCTTGGCACCATGGCCTCTCAATTTAAATCAGGCTCAAATTTGCTGTGAAGATACAGCTAGCATGGAGGATCTCCATCTTTATTGCCAAAGTGATTTTTGAGACAAAAACACATTTACTTTAGAATCTGAACAGAGGCCTCATTTGAAGAGAGATGAAAAACAACTCTCCCTAAGGTTTCCACTGAACCAATCAAAGAGCAGCTCAAAAACAAACCTTTGCCTGAAATAAACTCAAAAAGGTATAGATATTTGGCTACTGATAACTTCAAAGAAAAATAGCATATAAACAAAATTTGGACTTCTAGATAATTTAATTAAATCTAGTGATTTTTCACAAAATCTTGAGTAATTTAGAATAGCCCAGCAACTCAGGAACAAGGGGTAACTCTGCTGATTTATATGAGGCCCTGCTCATCAGCATCTGTTAGACAGATGTAAGAGCTGGGAACACTAAGCCAGATTTAACACCAAATGAGGAAGAGAAAGGATCTCAATCCCTCTGCGCCTCTCTGCAAACTACTATTACATATAAAATGACTGTGTAACAGGGGCACAAGAACTCTTACAGTGCTACATTACACTGACTCCTGGATTTTTTTCCAAGTACATCAAGAACCATTTATATCAGAATCAGATAAATTTTATCTAGTGACATAGACTGATCACACTACAAGCCTATAAAAACCCTACCCCAGGAGCTGTGCAAATGGAGCGATACACACCTGTACTTTTTCTGCTATCAGTCTGTCAAGCCAGCCGGTGTCAATTCTATTCAATTGAAAGCTTTCAGTCTCCAATAATTTGATCAGGTATTCAACCGTAGTTCGAAAGTCACCCCGAATAGACAGCTCCTTCAAAGCCACCACCATATTTCTGGGAGAAGAACAAAAGTGGATCTGTTTCAGCAACAAAAGTTGTTTTTCAATCATTTTAAAGAATTGTTTCATTCCTTTGGAGTCTTAGGAGGGAGGGGAGAGGGACAGACAGTTCTAAGAACAAATAAGGGTGCAAGTATAAGTTGCTCATTCACATGCATTCCAGATGGGATAATTTACAGTAAGTCAGTATGCTTATGAATTCTGACTGATATTACCATGAGTGCATCAGCAAATCACATGCATTTCATTACATGGAGTACAGGACAAATTATGTGCAGCCCTCAGCTTTCACTTACTAGGTATCCATCATTCCATCCATTTGTTGATGGCTAACTAGAATTAGAGCATAATTCTCCTCTCCTTACACGTTATTTATTTTATTAAGATATAATTTACATATAACGAAATATACTTAGGTATACTGTCCAATGAATTTTCACACATGTTTATATGTTAATTTAAAAGTTTCCATACAATGAGGCAACTGGCCGGTTAGTCAGGTATCAGCCTGACACTTCATGAGAGAATGTTTCTTTTAGCTGCATTTTAGATGCCTGGGAAATGACTGCTCATTCCTTTTATTACTCCTCAATTAAGTGTCAAATAATTCAATCTTAACAGAATTTCAAATACTATGGGTTTATTTTTTGTGGGTTTTTTGGGGGGATATATTTCTGTCTAGTGTCTATCCTTCACAGAATAGGTCCTTACTTCAACAAATACTTATTATGCATCTCACAGAGTAAAGACACATACTAGGCTCGTAAGGGAGAGAGAATGTAGACACAAATGCCAGTAGAGAGAAATAAGCAAAGTGCTAGGGAGGCTCTAAGAAGGGGGAAAATCCACCTCTCTGATTTCATGAAGAATGTGGACTCTGATGTAGGATAAAAGTTAACTGGGAATATGACTGTGATAGAAATAGGATACTAGGTGGCCCAGGCATTCTCTCAACCTAGAACATTCTTCACTTTCCCACCTCTACCTTCCTCTCTATGCCCTCTCTTGGCCTGGCTTATTTTCATATACTTTTTAGAAATCCGTTTAGATGCCACTTCTTCCTGGGAAATCTTCCCGGACCCTCTCTGGACTGAATTAGCTGACTTGGCTATATGTTCCTGCAACATCCTTATATAATCCCACTATCATAGATAGCAACTTTATATTGTGCTTAATTGTTCACTTGCCTCTCTTCCTCTGGATTCTTAAGTTCCATGAAGGCAGAGACCCTATTTTTGTCCTTCTTTTATTGTCATAAACAGTAGATATTCAGCAAATATTTTTTAATTAGAGTGAATGAATAAATGGATGGAATATCAAGAACAAAGCGAAAGAAGGAAGAAAATATGGGTTGTGTTCAGGGAAGTATTAAAGCAGAGGGTATGAGGACAGAACTAGAGGCAAATCCATTCATTTGACAAATGTTTACTGAACACTTACTGTGTTCAGGGAATACAGCAGCAACAAAGCGAACATGGTCCTGTTCTCATGGTTGGGGCTATTCTAGAGAACAAGAATATGAGGAATGCTATGAATAAGGAAAAAACATATAAGTAAGAATACAAATATGAGTATGAAGAATGTCATAAAGGAAAGAAGAAACTCTGAGCTGAGGAATGAACTTTCGACATGAAGTCAAGAAGAAAGCTTACTGTAAAGATCGTATTTTTAATATTCCAAATGTTAACCTAGTTAGCTTCACACCTAGTTAGAAAAAAATGTTCAGAGCAGGTCAGGAAGTAAAGAGCAAGGGTTCTGGACTAGGTCATAGGACATGTCCTGCAGAAAATACTCAGTGGTCGGGCTAAGCAGAACTGTAAACCCCAATCAACAGAGACTACTTGGAGAACGTAAATGACTGAGGCAGACTGGATGGGGTCTGTGTGCACTAGAGATCATGTTTCTTTCAAACGAAGCAGCCACAGAAAGCTTTATTAACTCTGCCAAGTGCAATACAAAACCAATGTTATTATCATCCCATTTTTAAAGAGAAGTCAGAAATCCATATATTTATTTTAATCTCCCAATTTCTAAATAGTGGGAATTTTTAAAACACAACACTTTGTAAGCCAATCAAACACATCTGTGACTGTGACTAGTTGGAAGGCCAGCAATTTGTAAATTCTAGCATAAATTTTCTCCACTGTGATTTAAAAACTTTAGCATAAACTTTCTTCACTTTATACCAGACAGTTTTTCTGGTAGCATTGCTTTAAACTGGAAAAGCTACTTACAGAGACTTCCCTACTTCCAAAAACACTACTAAGACCCAACACTATTAATAAATACTTATTGATTACTACTCTATGTGTACAGTCCAGAAGTCAAAGGAATGGTATTAAATACTTGATATAAGGAAACAGACAATTAAAAAATTGAATTAGTTTAATTTTGGATATATATTCTAAAATATCTAAATGATCAAAATTACCTCCAAGAGCCATACTTTTTAGGCTAGCAAAATTGCTATTTAGTATTTAATATTTATGTTTAATATAATATTAACACTTATGATATACCAGTTATACTCGGATAAGTTATGTGCATATTTTATAGTACATACTGAGGTCTCTCATATAAGCAATGTGGACAGTTTCTTTACGTGCTTTTTATGTGACAAGCAGTTTAATTTTATTACTTTGAATGACTATAGGACATTTACAGCTGTACTTTTATTTTCATGACTAATAACAGGTCTTCTCTATGATTTATAGGATGTCAAACTTTTGGTCAAGAATGTACCTCCCTCCAGTAACACAAGAAAATGGTAACTGTAAAGCAATCAATTGTATAAGTTTACAATTTTTTTATTGTAAAAATATTTTATGGGAAGTTCCAAAGATGGTGGCTGAGTACATGGAAGCTGATTCAACTTGCTCCTGACTCTGACCTGGATTTGTGGCTGATCTTCCAACAACCAACTTGAGAATCAATAGAATCTTAGCATATATGAAGTTCTAAAACCAAGGAGTACAGAAGATACTTTGTACCACCCTGTAAGAGAGTTTTATAAACAGAAGGGGACCCCTGTCCGTGGCCTTAGTTCCATGCAGGGATCACCAACCCTAATCAGGGGTAACCTGGGGGATCTACTGAGTCTGTGAGACCCAGGCTACGCACACAGTGAACAGTGCTCCCACAGCTGAGGTGCCAACCTGGAGAGCTCCAGATAGGGGCTCAGACTACTAAAGTAACCAGGCTGTCACACCTGGGTTTGTCAGAGGCACCTGGAGGCTATAGCCACCCCCAACTTCAAGACATCTCGCTCCTTGGGGAAGTTGTATGTGCAGAGATTCAGACACTGACTCAGCATTGTGGTGTGGATACAGCACAGAGACTTTTTAACAGGCACTGAAAGGTGGCCAGGCAAGGACCTGGGCAGAGCTGCCCTGCCAGCAGGGACCAGATTGAAAATGCAGCAGTGGAGCTCCCTCCCCTTTTCAATGTAGGGCCGTAAGGATTCTTGCAGCAATACAGAGAGAAGGAGAGGCTGCTGGCTCTCTGGTGGCAGGTTGTGGTGAGGTTCCACCACACCTGTGAAAATCAGAGATTGCAATTCAGCATAAAGTGCTTCTGTTTTAGGCGTCAGGCTGAGGAGATCACAATACAAATTCAGACTAAGAGAGGAACCTAGAAAAATGGGAACACTGTGTTTTTTTGACCCATTCTGAACTTTTGTCAGCTATGTCAAATCACGCTGGATCTCCAGGTCCTTTCCCACTGAATCCAACTGGGCCAGGTGATCAGAAATTTGCACAATCAAGGGTTTGTTGGACCCTGCACAGCTCAGCTTGCAAGCAAGCCAGGGACTGCGTAGAACAGTTTTGGACAGTGCCTCCTACAAAAGCTCTAGGCTGGGAGTTAGGCAAGAGTTGAGAACATGGGATTCTTTGCAGCCAGGCAAACACCCTAGCAGAACACAACCCTCTCGGAAGGGAAAGATGTGCCCATCCACCTCCTACAGGGTTGCAGACACCACCTCCAACTGGGAAAATCTGCAGAACAGTCCTGCCAGGTCCAAGGTTCCCATGCTGGTACATTTCCACAGAAGGAAGAAAGAGAAAATCCAAAGGGGGCCGTTCTGAACTTTTTTCAGCTGCACCAAGTTATGCTGGATCTTCATGTCCTATCCCACTGAAACCAGCTGGGCAGAGTTTAGAAATTTGCGCAACAAGGTGTTTTCTAGTCCCTGCCAAGCTGAGTTCGTAAGCAAACCAGAGGCTGCCTGGAACAGAGTTCTGGACTGTCTCCCCTGCAAAGGCTGTGGGACAGAAATTAGGCAAGAGTTAAGCCTCTGGGATACTTGGAAGCCAGGCAAACCACCCCACACAACACAGTCCTCTGGGAAGGGAAAGGTGTACCCATTGCCCTCCTGCAGGGTTGCAGGCAACACCTCCAATGGGGAGAATCTGCAGAACAGTCCTGTCAGGTACAAGATTCCCCCACTGGGTGCATTTCCGCAGGGGTAGAGAAAGAGAAACTTCAAACAGCAGAGACTCTCAAAATATGAGAATTTTAGAAGATATCACCTGGGAGCAGGATAGAGAGCTTTGCCTCCTACTGAGTCTTAGATTGAGAAAGTTTAGTCCCCGCCTACAGTTTAGTCTTGCTCCAACCCCAACTTGGGAGGTTCTTTTGATCTAGCTCCTGAAGTCCAGAGCTGCTGAGCCCAGTCCCACAAAAGGGGAAGTTTAATGTACCCATCCTGAACCAAGAGTGAGCCCCCTGAGGAATCAAGAGCCCAAACTGGCAAGGGGTTGGCTCTGCTTAGGGACTACTCTCCCCTCACTGAGTGCCCTACAGACTGCTATTCCTATTTCAACAGACCTGGTCTCAGGTTACAGACCCTCATCAAAAGGCTCTGGAGAAAACCCAGGCAACCATAGGCAAGGGCAGAGAGGCTGAAAGAGGGAGGCTGACCCCAGGAGCTTTGGCTCTTACACAGAGCTGCCATCAGCTCCAAGTAGGAAAGGGCTGACTCTTTTACACAGATTG